AAAAATGTAAAGGAAGCAGCAAAATGTCCCCCTGCTGATTCTGAAAGGATAATTCTTGCATCAGAGGAAAATACTAAATGGGCAGTGTCAAAATTTTACAGTATCTTACTAAAGGCCTCTGGAATGCCTTTAACAACCCACAAAACAGCTTAATTAATTATTAATTAATTAATTAATTATATTAAGAATGTGATCTTAATATAAATGTGAAAGATTAGAACACTGATTAATTTGTGGAAATAAAAACAATTTCTGGTAGAATTATAGAAAATCATTGAAATTAGTACACTGAGAGTATTATACCATGATCATTTTAGCAATTTCTTTTAAAAATGTGTATCAAGATTCATAGAAAGAACGTTAATGTTAGAACTTATCAGCGTGTTTGGTGGATTTGTCCAATGACCCAACAGTTCTGGAGGGCAGTCTTTAGGGATATAAATGTATGTTTCCCCAGTTTTAACAAGTGGCTTTTATCATTGCTTAAAGAGGAAACTACAGGCCAACCTAATGATGCCTAAAACAGAATTTTATTTCTCCTGGCAAAGAGCTTGCTCAGGAGCTGTTGTTTGAACAAATTATACAAGGCTAACTGTAATCTGATCATTCCCTTTTACAGTGATTAAACAGAAGTGAAAGAGAAGAAGACTGGTTAATTCTAGCCACTTTTTTTTTTTTTTTTACTGTAGTGAATCCCATATTAACACAAAACTATTATTTCCTTATTAAGTCTGATTTTTCAGAGCTTTGTGAGTAACACAAATTCTAAGTTTTTCAAGAACTTGAGTACAGAATGGTATTCTTGTGATGTATAATTATGAAATGCCTGTCAACAGGATCCGGAGGAATGAGGATATGGTAACTTTCAATATTTATTCACAGCCTTCATCTAATGCTCTTGTAAAATATTTTTAAAAATATTTTCTAATTCACCCTTGCACAATGTTGGTGACTTCTAGACAAGTGGACAAAGATCTGAAAGGTCCCAAATTTGTGTACATATTCTATTCAATACATAATTCTAATTTGTAAAAATAAAAAGGAATTAAACGTTTAACCAGCTGGATTTTCCTCATAGTTTATATAATTCATGTTCTTAATTTTAAAATTGAACTTACTTCATATTTGGCATGACTGAAACAACTGGTGGAGGAGGTGAAAGGCGAGGTGGAACATCATATTCGTCATTACCTAGATGGCCATTTGAAAATATCTGCAAGAGACAGATTTCTCAGGATGGTAATTTGCAAACTATATGCATTAAAATGCTCAGTTACAGCATTTTCTGAACCCATTCTCACCTTTAATTTCATTTTTCATTCTGCAAGTCTGCAAATTGCCTGTCATCAGTACAAATTTCATGTGTTCAGCACCATAAATAATTCAGCTAAGGTCCCCTCACACACTTTAATAAATGTATTCCTTAAAAAATGTCTGATAAAGAATTATTTGGTTTTAGCCATTATATAATCTTCAAATAAATTATAAATAAATGGGTCACTAAATAATAAGACAATTATTATTCTATTGTTTGCAGCATTCATGTTAATTAAACTTCATGTATCACATTTTACGTTAGCACTTTCTAATGGTAATTCATGACATAAGAATTTTTGTAGAAATCTTGGATCATAATCCATGAAACAATATTTTCTGTTGATATCTGAGTTTGCAGTGAGTTCAGGTTTACGACAATTATTATTTCCAACTAAATAACATCCTATTATTTAATTATTCCCACATACTTCTCTGGGGCACCAGGCTTCAAGTGCAACACTCTTGAACTAAAACTAAATTTCATGCATCATAACATCTATCTCTTACCTTGGTACCTTCTAAAGGTAATTCATGGCATCTGTGTTTCCGCAGAAATACTGGATCAGAACCCATGCGACAATGTCTTCCATTCATATTTGAGCTTCCAGTAAGTCCAGGTTTGGGACAATTATCATTTCCTACTATACGACATCCCACAATTTGATTATTCCCACACACTTCTCTGAGGCACCAGGCTTCAAGTGGCATTGGTTGATCTCTGGTAGATATACTTTCAGGATGATGCAAATGTCTACTTAACCTATTATCTGGAGGAATGGGTGGGGGCCTTTCTGGTGGAGGTGGAGGTGGATCTCGTATAGGTGGTGGTGGTGCTGGAAGAGGCTTGTCTTGTTTCCTCATCATACATGGAGAAGACTAAGATATAACATAAATTAAAATGCTTCATTAAGTATATGATGTAAACTTAGTGACAAATACAGTATTTTGTATATAGGTAGTCCTCGAATTACAACCATTCATTCAGCAATCATTTGAAGTTATGACAGTGCTGAAAAAATGGACTTACGACTGGTCTCCGAAGTTATGGCCACTGCAGAACCCCTGTGGTCATGTGATTGTGATCTGGGTGCTTGATAACTCACTCGCACGTATGTTTGCAACCTTCCCTGCCAGCTTCCCACAAGCACAGTCAATTTTGCTCGGGTAAGTCCATTTGTAGGAGGAAGGAGAAAACCTCACGAATGGCCAGCAGCTTCCAACATGAGCTGCAGAGCATGCACCAGAAGCACCCTTGGAGAACCCTTCAGCACCAGAAGTGCCCCTGGATAGTCCTTGAGTGAGCG